GCAGCTGTGACGTCAGCTTACGCATGCGCAGAAAGGAATTCCTCGAAGGAAAAATTCCACGAATGTTCATAACTGATTGGAAGAGACCACCGTGCAGCCGGGCGCCTTGACGCCTGGACTCGGGACTGAGGGCTCGCGTCCTGGAGAGGCCGGATCGGTCTCCATCGGTTCCCTGGTCCTCACTCCGTCGCCCCCTTGTCTTCGTGAGGGGGTTTCCGCCCCCCTCCATGGCTCGAGCGCGAGTGTCATAAAAATGACCCCTACCAAAGCCATAGTGGAGAGCAAGCCCCTCCTCCTTGAGGATCTTATGGGATTCCCTTATATCCTCTTATGCCGCAGCCTCCATAAAGAATCTGTAGGCCAGGGTTTACACGTTTTTATCCTTCCCAAGATAACTTCCATTCTCTCCTCATCCATGGGAAACACCGCCGTCATCTTGCCCAGTCGGGGAAGTCGCTCCTTCTCCAACACTTGGAGAAAGTTTCCCAGCCTTGGTGGGATTAGCCTTTAACTCCTGATATTGATATCACCTCTGTACCAAGTCTAAAGTTTTTTGCATTCTACCTGTGATACTTTCTGGGTGGTCACTGACAACTGTTATGCACGAATAATTAAGAAACAATAAACACACAGTACAATATTACCTATGTATATAGTATAGTTATTATATATGTATATGAGTCCTAGAAATTCTTCTAATCAGTAATTTGTTGTCTAAGGATTTATTGCTTCCGTTTTCCCTTTTTGTTTATGCTACGTATAAAATAAACTCTATTGAAGTTAATTACGTAACGAAAGGTTATACTTCCTGATGTCTTCAAATTTTCAATAGTATGTGAGACGGGTACTAAGTTGTAATAACAAAGCTATGAATTATTGTGGCAAAATGTTTGATATTGATTGTAAGAATAATTCATAAATTAGTTCTAAATACATATAAGTATTCCGAATTTAGGTCAAACTTTATTTTAGCAGCGTGAAATTGGAGCTAAGTTTTCGTACTCTTTTGAAACTCACAATGTAGATACAGATAACCCTCCTATAACATGATAGATAGGTTCGTAGAAAATTCCGTGTTGTGTGAAACCGTATTGTATGAGACCCAGAGTCAGTACAAAAAAGAGGGTTCAAAATAATTTTTTCTTTTAATTCTGCATACACAACTTAATTTTTATAGAAAATATAAACATATATACAACACAAAATAAACAAAAAATATTATTTTAATTTAACGCAATCTTAATTTAATAAATTTCTCTGTTGTCATTGCTTAGTATGTATAATCAACCGAGAACGGATTTTAGAAGGGTTTTCGCAATTTATAAATCGTGTTATAGCGAAACCGTGTTATAGGAGGGCTACCTGTACTTGATATCGACTGCACATCAGTACAAACAGATAATATGGTAAATACATTTTATAAGTGAATATTTTTTATGTCCATGAAAAGCTGTTTGAAAGTAAATAACGTTCAGTCTTAAATGGCATGTGCCTCATTAGCTGTGTTACGTACAAATAATTATTATCTTTTAATTAGTAGATAAACTAACGGGCGTAAAATACATTTATGTGTCTCGTTTCATAATGTGTACAGGAAAATTTAGTTTTATGTATCTTCTTTTTTTTAGTACATTTAATTCGCTAAAACAAAAAATTTTTTATGAACTACTTTATCTTAATAAACATAATTATGACAGAAGTATCCAATAATTTTATTTAAAAGAGAATGTTTCAAAAAATACTAGGACAAATTGAGTATTTTTAGTTTCTTGCTCAAATAAAATGTATTTGAAAAAAAAAGAAAGTAATTTCAGATTTCATTTATTTGTTACAGGAAAAATGACGATATTCAAAACTCAGAAAAATTATCTTTGGCGAATTCAACAGTTCTTTCAAAAACTCAACCGCCTCTCCAATTGGAAGACACAAAGCCAGATTTAGCATCAAATACAGTGCACAATGACCCAGAAAGTGGTCAGAACATTAACGGAAGTGTTGTCAAGCAAGTTCTAGCTGCATTAGTGGCACAGCTTGGAACTATTAACACAGGCATGGCCTTTGGTTTCTCCGCTATTGCTCTTCCACAACTTCAAGAACCAAATAGTACCATTCCTATTGCTGAAGGATCTCCGGAGGAATCATGGATTGGTATTGAATCATTCTTTATCTAGAAACGTCATAAAGTTTCACGCATTTATAATAATATCAAAATTGTTTGTTATATATAGCTAGCATGTCCTCTATCGGTACACCTATAGGATGTCTATTATCTGGTTACATGATGGATGTTCTTGGAAGAAAAAGGTCTCTCATTATCACGGAGATTCCAGCATTGCTTGGATGGATCTTGATTGCATTTGCAACGGATATTCGCATGATATATGCTGGAAGATTCTTTGTGGGACTCGGGTCAGGAATGGTAGGCGCTCCAGCACGTGTCTACACAGGAGAAGTAACTCAACCGCATCTTAGAGGAATGTTGACTGCTTTTGCGAGCATTGGTGTTAGTACTGGAGTTCTGATTGAGTATGCATTAGGAAGCGTACTTACCTGGAATACCTGCGCAGCCATTAGTGGAATTATACCTCTCGCTGCGTTATTGTTAATGTTCTTCTTCCCTGAGACACCATCGTATCTCCTATCTCGTAGCAGACCAGAAAAAGCGCGGAAAGCATTACAACAATTTCGCGGTAGTACATACAATATTAATCAGGAAATGGAGACACTTATTGATTTCTCTAATAAGAACAACATCAAGCATCTAACAGGATTCCGCGAAATAGTCGGTGCCCTTTTAAAACCTAATGCTCTTAAACCATTTATGGTATTGTCATTATACTTCTTAATATACCAATGGTCAGGTACAAATGTTATAACTTTTTATGCTGTTGAAATCTTTAAAGATTCAGGATCAACGATAAATAACTATTTAGCTGCAGTGATTCTCGGAGTAGTAAGATTAGCATCAACCATCGCAGCTTGTATTTTATGTAAAAGGTATGGAAGAAGATCTCTCACGATGGTCTCTTCTGTTGGTTGTGGACTTTCCATGTTAGGGTTAGGAGGATACATGTGGTTGAAAAATAGCTGGACGGTAAACAATCTTCCAATTATTGCCACTTGGTTCCCTATCCTGTGTATTTTTACATACACTATAACGTGCACCATTGGTTTTCTTGTTATACCTTGGATAATGATAGGCGAAGTGTATCCAGTACAAGTACGCGGTATTATTGGCGGATTGACTACGATGACAGCCCATTCTTTTATTTTTACAGTAGTTAAAACGTATCCTTTCTTATCTACTACACTTACTCAGCATGGTACTTTTATTCTTTACGGCTGTATATCTTTCTTCGGTACGATATACTTTTACATGTGTCTTCCGGAAACTAAAGGTAAAACACTTCAAGAAATAGAGGATTACTTTTCTGGAAGAAATAGTACCTTAAGAACTGGTAGTATAGGTATTAATAAACCAAAGGTGTTAGAAGTGAAAAAGGGTCAGGTACTACCCTAATACAATTCGCTATACAATAACTTTTTAACGTAAATACAAATAGATTGCATAATCTGTCTTCCATTGTGTAGAAATGAAAACTTTGATTTTAGCGTATTTTATTATTAATTATTAAAATGATCTGTAGATAACAGATAACAGTATCCATCTTTTAGAAAACGGTATACTAATTTCGTCTTGTAATAAGGCAATAGAGCTGATAATAGGACCAAGAGACTTAAGTAATCAATTAAAGTCAATTGCACAATATTAAGACATCATCATCGATACTCCAGACTTTTTTTCATTTCTAGATAGAATATATTTAGTTTACAATTATACGTATTTATTGACTAAAGACTATGTAATTTAAATCGCGTATGTCTCTCTAAGAAGAGAAGTGGCATATTTTTATAAATACAACATTGCAAGCCATTTAAAAGTAGCAAATATACTCGTAAATAAATATACTAGTTTTCTGGAATTGCATATCAGACAATTGTGCCTTAGTTATTTCTCAGTATACGCACAAGAAAACGAAAGGTGCTATTTATTGAATCATAGTATTATAACACTTGTACATATGTGATCAAAAGACAAGGCATAATTAATAAATAAGTATATAAGTAATATTTGTAAAAACATCGTATGATAATGTACACGAATTTCCGCAACGTAAAGTGTTTTATAAGTTTAAATGAAAAATTTTTAATACATTAATTGTGTTGTTTAATATTGGTTACCTTCCCTGTACGCAAGATCTATTTTAGTAAGTCAAAAAACTAGTCGAAATACAAGTAATGCATATGTGTAGGATGAATGTACAAAAGTCAACTTTTACACAGTACGGATCGCAGAAATGGCGTGCGCTATTACATACCTTTTCATCAGCTGGGTAATTCTGGTCCGGTAACTGCTCTTTAACACAAGTGTCGAAAGTATGCCTCCAACGTTGAAACACTTTTGAACTCTTCTTTTCAAATTGTCAAACACTAGCACCATTGTTTTTTCACTAATTTGTTGTAAAGAGTTCATGAAGAAGGATAAAATAATTAAGGTACACATTGTGTTAAAGCATTGAGTCTAGTTAACAAAAGTATAAGTACATTTATTTCATTCATGTGTCTTCAAAAAAAGAAAAATATATATATATTTAGATATATGATACCTCTGTCAAACACCTAGTCAAAACCTTAGTTTATTACAGACTTAGTACAGATTTAGTAGATTGTTCTACATTACCAGCAATATTTTACTGCTGTCTCCTACTTTCCTATCAAGGTCTTCACACTTGGCTAATTGAAAGTATCAAAATTTGCATAGTCTGAATCAAAAACCTAATAGACCATAGGCTTTATCAACAGTGTTCTAAATTACGAACTGGACAACAATGTGTATTATATTACCAACAAAGTATTCTATATGGTAGATGAAGTAGTCTATACAAAGATAGACTAAAAATAATTTGAGTTGAACACACAAATAATTAAAATAATAAGCGTTATTGTGAGATTTTACACTCTATTTATTGAAAATTAATTTATTCAAACACATTATACATCCCTTTAATAAGTGCTTCCAAATTGTAAATTTAGACATAATGTAAACACATATTTTAAGTGCAGCTTAATCCATTCGCGTTTTGACAGTTCTTGTTGTCACTTTATCTTTTTCTCTATAATTAAAAATGAATCATTAGTTTAGTAGTCAAGAAATGAAGTGAAATACAAACAATAAACCAACTTACATTATGTGAACAATAGCTCCCCAACCAGATATTGCATCTCTGTCGCATGCATTTATTAAAGCCTGACTAATTGTCTCAAAGAGATCATCTGGTTCCAAATCTGGTTCATACAGCGATTCGCACATTCCATAAAGCTGTTCGCTACATGTTCCACCAACTACAAAGTCTCCTGGTAAACTTATGCATCCTATTAAATCCATGTTACAAATAAATGGTTCATAAGTAACAGGATCTAAGCCGGCAACAATGGGTTCCACAAAATAGGGTCCAAATCTCCTTTCATATAATAAATTTGAAACCATTGATGCAAATGTCTTAGGATGAATTTTTCTGTTTTCTTTCAGTTCATAAAGATTCAATCGGAATCGTAACCTTTCCATTACGGTTTGGGTGTCTGTAGCAAGTCCAGGAAGACTGAGATACAAATGTGATCCCATTTCAAAGATTTTTTGATAATCACATGATATTGTCTGTGTCTGTATACCAAATCTGCGATCGGCTGCTATTGCCACACAATTTTTGCCTTTCATAGCAATAACAGCTCCTCCATTATAAGCTAAAATACTCTGAAATATAAAAAAAAATTTTTCATATTTATTTCTCAACTCTTTAAGTGCTAAATACACTTGGTTAAAGCAACCCATGTAGATGGTACATACTTAATAATTACAATTATTAGGAATGGAATTGTTTTTTACATCTGTAAACTTTGTAGATTGAATATACATGGCTTAACTAAGTTATAATTATACTTCTTTTATGCCAAATTAAATAATATAAGAAAATTATTGTGAAGCATTAATTATTTTATTTAAATGCGTTTAAATGTGAAGTATGTTTTATACAAGCAATGCATTTTTTCTTGTTAGTTGTTCCTTGTTCAATTTCCTTCTGGTGCTAAAGGACACACGTGTACTTATCTTATATATCGATAATTGTGTTTCAACCACACAGAAGATCGAAAAAGTTTACAAACGCATATATACATCTATAATCACATTGTTAGATTTCGATGGACACATGTATACGTTCACAGCGTTTAAAGGGTTAACAGCGTTAAATCAGGATTGCTCACTCAGTAACAATATGTGAAATCAATAATAAACATATTTTATTTCGGAATGCACTTAAATTAATTCAAAATCTTTATATAAATAGTGAACACAGTTTACAAAACGTGCAATGTCATCGGTATATTTGACAGTAACATAACCTCCTATATTGCTTTTATAATTTTTTTAAAGTAATCTAAGTTTAATACAAATTAGTAAATGTCTAGGAAGTGAACTAAACTACTACTATATAGTGTAGGAATAATTACCATTTCTTAAAGATTTTATGAAATTTACCAATATCGAACTCTAGCACAGTTTTAAATGGTTTTAAATTTACCTAAGAACGCGTTTACAATCACTGAACATGAAATACATAGAAGTTCAGGTAGTCGATTCAGTAACCTTTATCGTGGTGAAAATTAGAGATGGCTAGAACTGCTACTTGTGAATCACATGGTTGCCAATCACGGTGATTTTCCACAATGATTCGTGATTTTTCGTGATCGCTTCTGATTGGTGAAGAACATAACCGTTCCTTACACGCGTTGTTAGAATCTTCAGCCTAAATCTAAATGCACCGTAATGAAAAACACTCTGACCTGTATATTTTAAATATATTCTACATAAGTATATAGTGGTATGTAATCACTGTTAGTTATTTTTCACACCATCCCTAATCTCTAATGCCAAAATACAGGGTGTTCCAAAAATGTTGTAACACCTTGAAATGGGTGGTTCAGGACATGATTTGAAACAACTTTTTCCTTAGGGAAAATGTTGTCCGCGGCTTCATTGAGGAGATATTAACGGAAAACACTGAACAATCAGAGCGCGCGTATACCGTTGGAGCGGCCGCTTAGCACGTAGCCGTCGCTACCATGGCCGCTCCAACGGTATACGCGCGCTCTGATTGGTCAGTGTTTTCCGTTAATATCTCCTCAACGAAGCCGCGGACAACATTTTCGCTAAGGAAAAAGTTGTTTCAAATCACCTCCCGAACTTCGACCATACATACATGGACTGCTCAAGCTATAGTGTAGTCCGTAACCAACATCTCCCATGCCAAAGTTACGAGTAAGCAGTTGTGCGCAAGCGCTACAGTCAATGGGCGATAGTAGTGTGGAAAGGTGCGAATTGAAATTTTGGACGGTTTGGCGAACTACTCTTTGAGTATGTAGAAATGTATATTGAGTATATGTCTATATACTCAAAGGAACTACTCTTCGACCATTGGTCGAAGCTGCAGTCAGCCTGTCATCGAAATATAATTTTTGCTATAGTTCTCGAATTCGACGCATGCGCATTAGCGTCAAGTCTCACTTTTGGTATGGAGATGTTGGTTACGCTCTGCTCAGTGTATAAAGAGTAGGCTTGAGCAGTCAATGTATATATGGTCGAAGCTCCCGAATCACCCCTTTCCAGGTGTTACAACATTTTTGGGACACCCTGTATTCATGCTAGATGCGTTTTTGTTTTAACAAAAGTTTTAAATTCAAATGACATCCTTTGCAACATAAGATCGTTTCATAAAATTAAAATTGAAATTATATTCACATGTACATAAATATAAATAAATTGATAATACGTTAAACAGTGGAAGTTAAATTAATTCCCACAGTTATGTATCTCACTTTCGCTCGTTAAGAGCGAATATATGTATCTCTAAATGTGCAGCTAAAATGCTGTGTTCAACAGTCCAGACGTTCAGCCCTAATAACAACTTATGTAAACTGACTGCTCCTTACTTTGGCGGTGAAATGAAGAAACTAAATAGTGTATCAACCACAAACTGAGACTGTTTAGACATTTGCCTTGATGTCCGTGGCCTGGAAGTCAAATGCTTGGCGTGGCCAGGCAAAGCATTCTCAGATCATCAATATCCATACTTTTTCATACTTTTACATTTTCATTTTATTGTGTTTTAAAATATTTTTACGGACATTCATTGACGCAGATACCCCTCCTCTTACAGGCTTTCAGATGATTTGTCAGTTTAAAACACTAACAATATGAGTACATTTTCATTATTTTACATTTTAAAATAATTCTTATTGATCAAAACCTTGACCTTACCTGGCTACACTAAGCATTTGACTTCCAGGCCACGGACATCTAGGCAAATGTATACTTCTGAATTTTATTCTAATACAATACATTGTGCGTTACACATAGTAGATTTCTTTCTTTATTTCTCATTTCATGTTTAACATTTCAATTTCTACCAACAAGACATTTTGCGATACGTTGTGTGTACTTTGGAAACATAAAAGACTGAAACTGGTATTATAATATAAGAAATTGTGGGTTAGAAATATTGTAGACCTCTTTTTTCATTTCATACTTCATTTTTAACATTTAAGTTTGTTATGTGACGTTCGCATATCGATCGTCCAAACCGTGGATATATTTTTTTTTCTTCTTCATAACAAACCGAAGGCAAGTTATATAGTATTTGTATATTCGAACGTCACCCTGCACCTTAGATTGGGAAGCGTTTAGTAAGTAAGAGAGAACCTATGCGATAACAGCTACAGGCGCGGAGCGAGCGATCTACTTCTTGCCACATCATGTACTCCTGATACGACCACGGTACGGCCGCGTCTTATTCACTATCGTAAAACGCGGATTCGGTTTGCCGTACGATTCTCGGTACTCGTTACCACCCACCGGTGGGTGGTCAGATCTAATAAGACCCTGCACCTTTTCGCCGAATTTAAGCGTAGCGTCAGCAAAGGAACCGTCGGCAGTGGCTATCGTTGGTGTCAGTTACCAAAAACCGATAAGGCGTAGACTAAACATTTAGGAATGATTTCGGGCAAGATGTTATTACTAACGCCATGGGAAGAAGTCAACCACCACCCATGGAATTTTTAATAATCATGTGGTATGATTTTTTCCTCCTACCTTCAGACCAAAGGTCCCGAATTAGGGGTATAAGTATGCCCGCAATTCAGGAGCTCGGGCTAGTTGTCCGAAATCATTAAGAATCAAAGTATTCTACTAGTTGTCCGAAATCATTAAGAACCGAAGTATCTCAGTTATTGTTCGGAATCGCCAAAGAATCAAAGTCATAGTTCGGAATCGTCGGAATATCATAGTTGTCAATTGTTAAAAAGTTAGTTGTCGAGTTTTTGCGAATTTAAGGTATTGCGAACTTTTATTCAGAAATTTGTAATTAATTGTATTTGCCATAATAAAAGACCTTGCGCGGGTCTTAATAATAAACAGTAACGTAATTTAATAAATACCTAACTCTAATTATTTTCCTAAAATTATTTGACGCGTTCGCAAAGAGAAAAAAGGAACAAATTATAGTTAAATCATCTATCTTTTCGATTCATGATCGAGGGGTTGAAGGCGGTCATTTACAAATCCTAAAGATAGAAACATTGCTCGGCCGTGGGTTTCTTTTCCGTCATCTTACTCAGGTCCAAAGTCATTTTCGTGCTTGCTGTAAGGGTCGATCGAGGCGTCGAAGCCGGTTTTCCCGAACGGTAGACATGGATTTGATTAACGCGGCTCCTTTCCGATCCAAGGCAGAGCGGATATTCCGATCAGGGTCGAGGCGTCAAAGCCGGCTTTGAAAGGAATAGACGCAAAACCAGAAATCGTAAAGGGTTGCATGAACTTGCTAATGATTGGCGGGACATGAGATTCATGGACGATTAGAATTTATATAAATTCCATTTTCTCCCTCTCAGTAGATGAAAGACATTAAAATTTCGCGAAAGTATCGTGGCGGTAGACGCGAACAAATTCGGCGACAATTGCACGATTACGAGCTCCCAGTGCAATCTGAAAGGTTTCCGCTCGGGTGTTTCGTGAAGCCGCGAATCATAAAAAACGAATGCGTACAAGCATCAGCATCAGCGTCAGTGTCAGCATCAGCTACGGCGTCAGTATCAGCACCAGCATCGTCTCCAGTACCTTTACCTTGGAGGCTCGTCCCGGTAACCATACCCCGAACACGCGAGCCTGTGTGGACCATCCCACCCAACGACCCGCGGTGGGAACGTTACATCCAAAAGGTGCTCGACCTCAACAAGTAGTAAGTCCGAAGATTTAAAATTACTAATAAATAGTAATCGCGAGAGTAGACTCAATCAGAATTAGGATCCCGTCCAGACGCGAGTCGTTTAAGAGAGACGTGGGGCAAAAGCAAGCATCATTTGATCGAACTGGGCGACAGATTTTCAAATCTGAAATCCGGGACGTGACAATTACAACAAGACTTTCTGTCATGCGTTATGTGTGCTTTTGAAAACTTAAGAGTCTGAATCTGGTATTGTAATATAATAAGTTGTGCGTTATTCATATGACATTAATTTTATTTGTAAATAACACATACAAACCTTATTTTACTTGCAAATTAATGTAGAGCTTGAAATAAAAATACATTTGTCTTTTATTATCGTAAGCATAGAGTCTACAATATACATAATGTGTCTAAAACCAGATATAGGAAAGAGACCAGCTTCAGTCCTTTAAGTTTCCAAAAGTATACAGAATGCATGGCAGGATGTCTCACTGCAAGAAATTTAAATGTTAAAGATGAAGCGAGAAATGAAAAAAGAAATCAACTATTTATAACGCATAATTTATTGTATTTGAATAAAGTTCAGAAGTAACGC